TGGTCTTCAAAACCGGATCTAGAAACTTAGTTCAGAACTATCGTCCTGTTAGTTTGACCAGTATTGTTGTTAAACTACTAGAAAGAATAATTCGTGATGCTATCATTCAGTTCATTGAAGGGAACAAACTTTTCGCTGTGGAACAGCATGGTTTGAGAGCAGGTCATTCTTGCTTGACCAACCTTCTTTTGGCCAGAGAAAGTTGGGCAAGCTCAGCTGATGCTAATATACCGGTGGATGCCATATTCATCGACCTAAGCAAGGCGTTTGACAGGATTTCTCATTCAGGTCTTCTACTAAAGTTAGGTAGTCTGGGAATCAATAAAGTGGTTGCCAACTAGATTCAAGACTTTCTAAAGGACAGAAGACAAAGAGTACGAGTTAACGGGGTTTTATCAACATGGGAATCGGTTAAGAGTGGCGTTCCTCAGGGTACAATTCTAGGCCCACTTCTTTTCCTGATTTATGTTAATGAGATTCCATCGGTAGTTAAGTCATCCTACTTACTGTTTGCTGATGACATCAAGATATGGAGGGCTTTACATGATGACAGTGATCAACTTGCTTTGCAGGAAGATTTAAACTTGTTAAGTGATTGGTGTAAGCACTGGGCCTTGGAGATCAACTTAAGCAAGAGTGTAGTTATGCATGTATCTCATAGTCACGTGCAAAATTACTCAGTGAATGGCATTACTGCCCCAGTGGTCACTGAGTACAAGGACTTGGGAGTGGTTGTGCAGCATGACTTGAAAACAGCAACAAACTGTAGAGCTGCAGCCACTAAAGGTTTTCGAATATTATGGGCCATACGCAAAGCTTTTGCGAATTTTGACGCTGAAATATTTCGTATATTATATCCGACTTATATCAGACCTCATTTGGAATATGGGATCCAGGCAGCGAGCCCGTGTTTCAAATACGAAACAGACTTATTAGAAAGGATGCAAAGAGTAGGAACTAAGCTAATAAAATGTTTCTCAACCCTCTCATATGAAGAGAGGTTAAGTCGACTGGGTTTATTTCCACTGTCATACAGACGACTTAGGGGTGACCTAATACTAGCATACCGTATCCTAAGAAATGATTTTGGAGCAAATTTACCTAATTTATTTCTTCCTTCTAGCACCAACCAATTGCGAGGACATCACCTCAAGGTTCAAAAACCACGGTCGAATCGTCTGCGTCTGGAGATCCGTTTTTCGCATCGAATTGTGAACCATTGGAACTCCCTACTGGAACACGTCGCATCAGCGTCATCCGTTGATTCATTCAAGGCGAGATTGGACCTCCTGTGTGTAACAAATCGAAAGGCTTAACACAGGCATATAGCCTACTATCCTAAATAAATTGTAAACTGTAAACTGTGTGCCATCAGAGCGCGATCTAGGTCTTATGCTAACAGAAAAGATAGACACCAGTGGAAATTACACGAGGGACGTCGCCAAAGCCCACGCAACTTTACACTTCATGCATACGCAGCTGGAAGCTCTTACTCCCGAACTATTCTCAAGGTTGTATAAGACATACGTGAGGCCACACCTTGAGGTGCATAATATCATTGCTCCTTCGCTACTCAAAAGGGATGCTAACATCCTAGGAAGTGTCCAGAGACGAGCGACAAAATAGGTGATCGGCCTCCGCAACAAATCATACGAGGAAAGACTGAAGAAATTAAGTCTTTTCACACTTAGCTACCGTAGTCACAGGGGAGACCTCATCACTGTCTACAAGATCTTAAATGACCAGGCCCACCCAAATAAAAGCATCCTGCCCTTAAGTGATTATAGGCTTCCACGAGGTAACCCGTTAATGATAGCACACTAGAGACCAAAGACTCGAGTGCGTTCACATTTCTTTTCGCTTCGAGTTTGCTGTCTCTGGAACGCTTTACCGGCGGCCGTGACTACAGCGCCATCTGTGGAGACTTTTAAGCGGAAGCTGGACAATCATGCAGAAATGCAAGGTTGTATCTCAATGGCTTATCCTCTTAAAATTTAAAACCACACTGTCAATGGATAAGCATACAAACTAAATCCCCACGACCCGTTCTGTCTTCTCTCACTGTACCGACTACTCTATCTTTTCCTTAGGTCACCTTTATTATTTCACTTATCTCAACCTATATTATCTACACTATAACATATTATTATTATTATTTCTATTCTGCTTTTATGACTACACCGAGTGACCAAGGGGAGTCAAGCCAAACTCCATTCACGACAGCAACACAGTCCTAACATACTGCATACTACAAACCACATTTTGACCAATCCCCGCACCACTCCTCTTGGAGTCTACCAGAAATAAAGCAGTCGAGTAGCGGGACTTACTATGCACAAGTTCACCAAAGATCTGGAACCTCTACCTTACAATCAAGAGGCGAGCTCAAAGAAATCACTGGTTTCTATTAGCTCGTAATCAGGATATTGGATATTGGACATTAGAGAGCGTGTATTGAATTTTGAGTCACTATGAGGGCTGGACTTATCCGGCATGTTGGTTGAAATTTCGCTCGGCAAATTTTTTTTTGTCAATAATTTTTAATAAAATTTTGTTATATGTTTTCTGGATTGATAGGAACTCTCATTTCCTGGCTAGTTATGTTGGTGTCCGCGTCATGTAATCTGACTGCGACACACTTAGCATATTGGTTGTATTGATTAGTGTTTCATGCTGAATGCGTCAAAACATCTCTACAATGAAGAAGATGGGGTGGTTAGGGGGTAATGTCATCTACACAAATAGTTTATTTCTTGTAGAAGCTGCAGCTTTCGACATAGTGTCATTCAATGAAGACTACGTCAAAATGTGGCTATTTTCGTGTGAAGAACAGTACTATTTTACAAAAGAATGTTATCAGTACATGGGAATCACCTATAAATGCCAACAGAACGTAAAACCAATGTGTAAACGAACGGCTACGGAACTGCAATCCAAATTAACCAACTAACATGAACGAAAATGACCTTTGAGCGTCTCACTCCATCAATGACCTTGAGCATGCGGGATAATTTCAGCCACTATGAGTAGCTTGGATTTAAAACCAAAATATGAAATCGGTAAGATGCTTACTGTTTTCTTATATAGAATCACGTGCATTAAGGTGAAAGATTACTTTGTTTCCATGGGCCTCTTATGTATGAGGCAAAATGTCTAGACGTCAAAGTGAAAGAAGATGGTGTAATGTATTTTGTGCATTACCAAGGTTGGAATAAAAAGTAACAATATTTCAGTATTGATTTACGTTTTGATATAGCTGGGATGAATGGGTGACAGAGAAACGTATGTTCAAGTATAATGAAGAGGGTTTGAGAAAACAAAAAGAATTAGAGCGACAAATGTAACTTGTGTAAAGCAACGTTTCTGATCATGATGCTTCTTGTAATTTTCAGAAAATCGGGCAAAGTGAAAGTTTTGAGGAAGTCCGACTTGAAGTCACAGTCATTGCCACCTCCAGAAGTCCTGGAGGACGTGGAACGGACACTGAAGCCTGGTGAAGTGAAACAAGGTGAGATATTACCCGGTTATATACTAAGTGGCGCTATAGAGGAAGATGCTCCTAAGGCCAAGAGCATAAAGACCAACAAAGAAACCAACGGGAAAACTGTTACTCGTGTGTCTGCTGATTTGAAAGAGACTGAAGATATTAAACCAGCCATTAAGTGTTGTGAAGATTCATACACACCATCTACTCAACCTGTCACAGTATCAAGTAGGAGAAGGAAAGGCCGAGTGTCATCAGTGCTGAAGTCTCTTGAAAATGCAAGTATTTCGTGTTTATTGTGTCACAATTTTTCATTCTATGCGATTTAAATTTGTTTTTCCGAGATAGTTTGTACTTTGGTATTGTGATTCATCTTGTGAGATATGGAAAATTCCTCTTTGAAGGAGACAATAAAGTAGCAGCGTTGTGTCAAATGACAATTTTAAGTCGATATTTGTGTTATCTAGCTCATTCGAAACGTATTTTAACACTGTGACCACTAGTCCTCATGAGATTGTCCTCATTAATTTAATTTTCTGTATGTTCACTCCTGTGAACAAATTCTTTTTTTTTAACTGTCCTCTGGTTTTCAAGTCCTCTTAGAAAGTTGTTCATGAATTTAAATATTTCTTTGAGCTAAAGCTGTGTTTCAGATCAAGATAATAAAGATAGAAAGCTCTTCTGGTCTGTGTTAATCCTTGAAATATACATCTCTGCAGAAATCTAATTTCTCTCTTTGAAATCGTTCACCGATGGAGCTGTTACTACTGAATCAGGTAAGGAGTTGCAATTGTTGACCATTCTGCGAGAGAATCTAAATTGAATTGTGGATGTATTTTTATTCGACCTAGGTCTGAGCACATTTTTGCGGTGAAGATTGTGAATTCCTAAATCATCCTTTAATGTACGGTATGCGGAAATTAAGTCACCTCTCCTCCTCCTTCGGTATGATAGTGGAAAGAGATTTAAATGCTCCATCGTCTTGTCATAAGGAAGGTTTGAGGTACCACTAATTAATTTCGTTCCTACCCTCTGTACTCTTTCTAGGATTTGTGCCCCCTTTTTTGAAGCATGAAATCATCACTTGTATGCAGTATTCCAGTGGAGGCCTGCTGACATACGTTGCATAGAGTACTTAGAACAAAGACTCGTCTAATCGTTTGAAAGCCCTTCAAAGTACTCATAGCATTCTAGTGTTAGCTGCAGCTCGATTACAATTTTCGGTTGTTTTTGCGTCATGGCTTACAATAATTCCTAAGTCGTTTTGTCCCTTAGCATCTGGCAGTTCTTTGTTCCCCAGGGGGTACGATGTGTGGCCAAGTTAAACTTTAAGCACCACTAATTAGATAGAGGGAGTAGCATGTTGACCAGAAACTGAGCGGGCTTGTAAGTGTTAGGAGCGAAAGAATTATTTTTTTTATATGTATGTATTCATACTCTCAACTTTACCGTTATATTTTTCACTGTTTTTCATATATATCAGGAAGATGGCCTTCTGTCTCAGCCTCGTTTATCGATGTCACTGCCTCCATCTTTGAAATCTTGGCTTATCGATGACTGGGATTTGATTACTCGTCAAGCTCGGGTAAGTAATCTTCAGTTGCGTTATATCATCGAGTCAGCAAAGCAATTTCCAATTTTTGAGCGTTGGTCGAAATTTGTTAATTTAGTGATCAGTTTAGTCACTTAGATGTTACACAGTATGTACCTTGGCTCACCTTGGTTCCGGGTGGTCAGGAATGTTCTCATCTTGAGTGTTGGTTGGCTCGCCACCGTTGCATCTCGATGGGTTGAAAATCGCAGTGAACCCTAGTCGAGAGTGCATTCGGATGTGTAGTAGTTTTTGTTACAGGGAGAAACCTTGCGACCCTCCCTTTCATCGTTCAGAGAATTCAACGATGTATCAAAATTCCATTATAATTATTGTTATTATTTGAACAAAGCAAGAACAACAGTGGTTATTGCAGAATAAAGTGACTGGTACCATCTTCTATTTCGTTGCCTTCTCGTCAGCTGCTTACACGCCAAAGACATTATTAGGTAGTATACTTACAAAAATAATTTTAACAAACTTGCACAGAGGTCATCTGTTTTATCTCATCATTTAGGTCTTTTCTTGTTCGGTTTGTTAGACACTTAACTTAACTAAGCCTGACTTAACAGACAGATAACGGATGAGACGAATTGAAGTCTAAACATCTATGAGGAGAATGCGTTGGTTTTTTATAAACGCCGCTAGTGTTCAGTTTACCGTCTTCTATTCGTTTTATTTTACAATCGAACATCATAAAAGCTAATTCTGCTTGTTTATTTACCGATTCAAATGTGAATTTTATTCCCTCTACTAGTGAGTTTATGTGTGTGTGTCAAGAAGCTAGAGGTTTTTCCTTTCTAAAAATTATTTTTTCTTCGGTTAAATTTTCACAGCTTTATGAACTGCCTGCCTCTCAGCCAATATGTAATGTTTTATCAGACTTCTTAGAAGCTTGTGAGGCTGAAATTAGTCAGAAGTCAGAATCAACTGGTGAAACAAAAGAAGAGTGTACTTCTTCTGAATCGCAGAACTCTCAGCTAACTACTACTACTAAGTTGCCAATAAACGCGGGAGTACGGCGTGAATTTGTTGCGGGAATTCAGCATTTTTTCAATCTTACTATTGGTTCTCATCTTTTATACAAATTTGAACGATTACAATATGCTGAGCTATTGAAGCATCATACAGATAAGAAAATGTCAGATATTTATGGTTCAATTCATTTGTTGAGGTTGTTTGGTAAGTCGTCTTAATATTCCCTTTAATATATTTGTGTAAAACTTGGGCACTGTGGTGGTGGCAGTGAGTGATTCCATATTAGTTTGTTTATTAGATGGATGTATCACACAGTCAGTGAGTGAGTGAAACAGTGTTAGTATTTACTGGATGACAAAGTTGTTTCGAACACAATTCATTATTGCTGTTCATAATCATACACATCACCAATTATAATCACACGACTTCGAAACTTGAGTCTGATAGTTTTCTTTGTTCTCTCCTATTTGTCATCGTCTTTGGGGTAGTAGAATTTTCCAGATATCTGGGTGGACAGGTGTTGAATCATTCCTATTACATGTATTTGCCAACCCAAATGTGTGGTGGAGGTGTATGTAGATGACACATTCACTGAAACTTAGAACACAGGATATAGACAGATTTTTCGAACACATTAACTAACTCAAAGGTGGAGGTAATTCAATTCACTTATGTGGAATCGGAAAGTCAGGAACTCAGGGAGCTTCCAATGTTAGATCTGTTTTCTCTATGTTCACCTGAAGTCCCTCCTATCTTTGATGCTTCTTCGGCCACATTTTGTCATTTACAGAGCATAATTTTCAAGTATTGCAAAAAGTATTTTAAAGTATTGGTTTTTGTAGGGATTTTGTTTGTTTGATTGGTTGGGGGATTTCATCATGACCGCTGACATCGGTTAGAGAACCCCATTGGAAAAGCACCACTGGAGAGTACTGGACAGTTAGTTGTTTCCCCCGTCCTAGTTTGTGTCTCTTCAACAGCATGCACCCACCGACGAGGTTCGAATCCAGGACCTCTTCTGGTTACAAGGCGGCCAGCGAGGTAGCTCGTAGAGCATTCAGCAGCCACTGATGTCCGATCCAATGGCCAGCCAGCCAGTCCATGAATTCTAACTTCTGCCAATTCACGCACGACATATAGCACAACCACTTATCACAATGTCTTCGATAAGTAGTAATTGTCTTCACCTTCGACTTGCTGTGTACCCTACTGGTCACGTCTTCCCACTGGAACCCCAGGTTAACTGCCTGAATAGAGAGAGCCAACCATTCGGTAGTGAGTGAGCATCAGATCAGTTTATTAAGTATATTGGTCTACGAGCTAGCTCGCCTTGTAACGAGGTCCTGGGTTCGAACCCTGTCAGTGGGGTGGGTGCGTACTGCTGAATAGCCAATCCAAAACTAGGACGGGGGAAACAGCTGTCCAGTACTCCCAGGTGGGTTTTCCAGTGGTTCTCACTAACTGATGTCAGCTCATGATAAATGAAATCCTCCATGGAAATAACAGTTATGTAGATGATTTTCAAGCTCATGCAACATACATACAACAATTTATGTGAATTGTTGAACCTAAACAATGTCTGTCTTTTGAAACTATTTTTTACTGTTTATAGTTAAGCTCCGAGATATGGTGTCATGCGTCCGAGTCGATGAGCATAGTCTCCCTATGCTAGAAGCTTCAGTTGCTGAGTTTTTGCAGTGAGTGTTTATTTATTTATTTATTTTTTATTGCATTGTAAATTAACGGAGAGTTAGACGCGTATAAATTTTCTCTCATTTACACATTCACGATCTTGCACAATGCATTAGTTGTATATTTTGATTTGACACTAGTCAGCAACTAGTGTGTGTGACGTGTCTGGCCAGTCCTTTCGTTGTCTGATGCAGACTGAATTCTATCAGTCAGTCAGTCAGTCAGGTTTGCAATGTGGCCAACATGCCAATAGATAGCTCGCCATCACGGTGCACACATTGATTTGATGATATTAGATAGTTGTAGGCAATCGGCGGCAGAGGAAGCCTTGCCCGGACCTAGGTCTCGTGCTAGTTGGCGCTCACCGGTCAGTCAGTCAGCAAGGCGTATCTGCAACCACCTTGAAGGAACAGCTCATGTCCCCTCTTCTAAAATTCGAACTTGCGTCCTCCAGGAGGTCAATCGCGAGCCACAATAGCTCAATGGTAACGTCTCTGACTGCAGTACTCACTGGGTGATGTGGGTTCGAATCTCAGATGGGTGGGACATGAGTTGTTCCTTCAAGGTGGTTGCAGATACGCCTTGCTGACTGACTGATCGGTGAGCGCCAACTAGCACGAAACCTAGGTCCGGGCAAGGCTTCCTCTACCGCCGATTGCCCCCAATTATCTAATAGCATTAATTGTATGGACGGACTGTCAACAATCGCCACTTTTTTGTGCCGTCTAAAAAACTTGGTTTTAGGTTGTTGATCTTAGAATCATCGAATATATATCACATTAGTAAATAAAAATATTCATTGTAATGCTAACAGTGCAGTCTTTTCTCCACCTCGAAGTTCTAAGGTAGTAAGTAGTATTGCATTAACTATGACTCACTAGTGAACATTTTTTTAAAACAGATAAATAGGTGATTGTTCATCGCTTTTTGATTTGTCTTATAAAGGCCTCGGTGGGATAAAAGTTTTACTTTTCATCACTTTTCAGTAATATATCTTAACCACACAAGAAAATTACTTTGGCTCATTCTGTTATTATTATTATTATTTCCTTTAATTCCAAGAGGAACATGGGGCTTCAGCCGCTCACGTCTCCATTGCGTTCAGTTCTCTGCTAAAGTTTTCACCTGGCTCCAAGTCTGCCCACATGTTTTCATCATCTCCTCTTCACATGACCTCCTCCTTGAAGTCACCCACCCTTGCACTGACGACCAACTCGCCGCTTCCAATTCGGTCGGGTTCCACTCGAGCAATGGCTTGTCCAGTGATGTCACTTGATCGTTTGTTTTCTCAGAGTATGGCCAGCCAATCCAATCCACCTTCATTTCTTCCTGCTTATTTGTTGCACAATCGGTTCCTGGCTGGGTTGGTTAGCTCATCGCCAGAGGTCCCTGTTGCTGATCTTCTCTGGCCATCTCATCTTGAGTAGTATTGAGCGAAAACAACTAGCTGTTGACGAAGGTCTGTAGTTTGTTTGAGGTGCTCTTTATGACGCGCTGGCCAAGTCTGTGATCCGTATAGTAGCACTGACTGACTTCACATTGGAGTTGAAAATCCGGATCTCATTTTCATTTTCATGCTGAGTGCTGTCTGTTGACCTCCACACAGACTTGAGAGCAATGAAAGCTTGCTTTGCTTTCCCGATCCTCACTGCTTTGATATCTTCATCAGTTCCGTTGGCCTGTAGTTGAAACGATGCTTCCCAGGTAGGTAGGTAGGTAGGTGAAGGAGGTTGTTTCTTTCAGGTTCCTCCCATTTATGCTGGCTGATTGTTGTCTGTTGTTGTTGTATCCCAGAAATCTTCATCACCTCTGTTTTCTCTATGTTTAATTGGAGTCCTATCTTTGATGCTTCTTCTGCCAACTTGTTGCTTTTCACTTGCATATATCTTCCAGCAGTTTGTGGGAAATCAGACATATATCATCGGTGAAGTCCAGATCCTCCAAGTCGTTTTTGTGTGGGTCCATTTTATGCCTGCTTTTTCGCTGCCCGCTGTCTGTCGCATTATCCAATCTACTGCAATCAGGAAAATCATTGGCTATAGTAGGTAGGGTTGTCTTACTTCCGTCTTTACTTCGGAAGATTTCGTAAGTTTCCCGTTGTGGATTACTTGGTAAGCAGCGTTGTCGTACAAATGTTGGGTGAGATGTATAATTGTCGATGGCATCCCGTAGTAGCGAAGTAGTTTCCAAATCACCTCTCGATCGACGCTGTCAAAGGCCTTATCAAAGTCGATGAAGTTGAGATGTTGAGAGAGGTGACTGCCATTCCAAGCTTTGTTCAATGATGATCCGTAATGTGGCGATTTGATCAATACATGACTTGTTTCTCCTGAATTCAGCCTGTGTCCAGTCGAAGTTTTTCATCCAGGTCGGCTTGTTTGATTCTCTCCAGGATGATGTGGCTTAGTATTTTACTTGGGATGGATAGGAGCATAATTCCTCGCCAGTTCTTGTATTGACTTAAGTCTGCTTTCTTTGGCAGTTTGAATAAGCATCCTTTCTTCCAATCCGCAGGTACCTTGTCCTCTTTCCACATCTTCTTCAGTAGTGGTGTCATCAAATCCGTTGTTGTTTCTGGGTTCATTTTCGATACTTGTGCTGAGATTGCATCTGGTCCTGCTGCTTTTCCAGCTTTTAGCATCTTGATTGCCTTCAGGACTTGTGTTCTCGTCTGGGGTGGGGGGGGGTTGTTGATGATCACTGGTATGTAGTTCTGCTTCGGTTGTTGGTATTATTGGGCGCGTTGTAGGTGGCGGTCGAATATTTTTGCAACGTTAGCTTACTTCTAAAAGATGGGAATCACTCACCTATTATGTATACATTTCTGTCATTTGATACCGTAGAATTTACTTGTAAATAATTATATTCTAGTTGACAGACTCAATGAAGGATAAAATATATACATATATCTCGTATTCTAATGCAGGCCACAACCAAAAAGAACCCAATGTTGAGTACTTGTTTTTATTAAAATTACTGCTCAGCAGTCCGCTCCGTCCTCCTTTATGGCTGGCTGTGAGCGAGACCTGGCCATTGAGAGTGGAAGACATGAAAAGGCTGATTAGCTGTCTTCGATCATAGGTGCCTGACTGCGTTTCATCTCCCGTGTGAAGTGGTATAAAAGGTTGAGCAATATTAAGGTTAGGCGTCGGTCGAGTGCTAGGTTTGTGGGAGGGCAAAGAAATAGACGAGGCTTTGAAATTGCATCGACTGAGATGGTTAGGACATGTGTTACGTATGCATGTCTTGTCATCGCCTTCCTCGACAATGGGCAATGTTAGCTTGCTGACATAGGATTGGTCAGGTTGGGAAAGAGTTAGCTAGCGGCGGTCAAACCAAAACATGGCTTCACCAGTCAATGAAGAAATCCACAACACTTAGTTTAAGCCAGCCAGCCAGTCACGTAGGAAGGTGTAGACTGGCTTCCTGACTGGTTGTGGTCCTCGGGAGGGTAAAGACCAATGAAGGCTGAAAACAATTGGTGATATGGCTCAAATGAAACTATATTGTTCTTCGTTATTACTATGCCTTTGTCTCACACCTCTGTATTTACTGTCTCTCTATTATGCATTTCTTCTACTTTCTTCTCTTGCTTTGTGTGCCACATGGAGGGAGTGTGTGGCGACTTGAACTGCTGCATATCGGTGCAAAGTGGTTCTATGTCGAAAACAGACAGACAGACTTTTAGAAGGCTGGCTGGCTGGCTGAATTCAGCATCTCCCTACCTGACTCAGTTTAACTGTCAAGGATTTCATGGATTGATTGATGACATGTTTTTGTTTGGCATGGCACCACTTACTCTTTTCCAACCTGCACCTATATGTCAGCTAGTAATGCCCGTCGGGAGGGGGAGGCGATGGTTAGGCATGCGCAGCACGTGACCTAGCCACCTCAATCTATGTAACTTTATAGCCTCATCGATTGATTTTCCCTCTTTGCCCAACACTCTACGCCTAATCTAACGTCAACATTACTTACCTCATTATACCACCACGTAACGTGAGAAAGAGATCGTAGACATCTATGATCAAAACAGTCAACCTTTTCATGTCTTCAACTCGTATTGGCCATGTTTCAGAGCCAGCCATAGAGAAGGACGGAGCGAACTGCTGAGCAGTACACACGTCCCTTTGTTGATAGTCGGATGTCACGCCTACGCCAGAGATGGTGTAAGTTAGCGAAAGCAGCCCGAGCTTTTTGGATCCGTGCTGAGATTTCGTCACCAATCAATGCGTTGGTGCTGATACAACTTCCCAAATAGGTGAAGTGGTCAACATGTTCTATCACTTCACTCCCTATCACTAAGCTAGGGGTAGACGTAGTCCAGTCCTGTAGCAGCCTCTTACATTTTACAGGGGTGAATCGCATGCCAAACATACGAAGATTGCTGCTCAAGGTGTTCAAAAGACTCTGCTGCATTGTGTCAGCATCCTCCCCTAACAGGACAATGTCATCTGCATATTCTAAGTCCATAAGACTATTCCCTGGTAACAAGTCGATTCGTAAGTCGTTAAGTTCAGAAGGATTCACTTCTAATTATTTCACTGGTTTATATGAAGCTTTATTAGTCGGCTTCTCTCTCTTTTCCTGTTTTATAGGTTTCTGCAACAAAATGAAAGCCGTTACTTCCGAATTGAGGATTACAGTGTGGCGACGGCAGAATATCAACGAAGAGCGATGTGTTGAATGCGCATATAACTAACTGTCACCGTTGTAAAAAAAACAAAATTGATACGTATGCTCTGAAATATAATGTATAATATAATTCCATATTAGTTTGTTTATTAGATGGATGTATCACACAGTCAGTAGTGAGTGAAACAGTATTAGTATTTACTGGATGACAAAGTTGTTTCGAACACAATTCATTATTGCTGTTCACAATCATACATGTCACCAATTATAATCACACGACTTCGAAACTTGAGTCTGATAGTTTTCTTTGCCCTCCCCTATTTGTCATCGTCTTTGGCGTAGTAGAATATTCCAGATATCTGTGTGGAGAGGTGTTGAATCATTCCTATTACACGTATTCACTCTCAGTTGATTCGATAAAGAAAGCTTCTGTTATCAATCTTTCCCTCCACCCTGCTGTGACATTAGATTTCAAAACTGTCATCCTATCCCATCCAGCCTATTGTATGGTTGTATATGATTGCATGTAGTGAGTGCTATAGCTGTACTATTCTTCAGATTTCTTATCTTATTCGGGTCAACTAATCTAGATTATGCTAGGTGTTATGCTCAGCTTGTCTGACTGCACCTGTTCTACTACTTTGACCTATGTATTTGACCTGACAATGATTGCAGACAGGGTATTAGATAAACTAAATTGTTTTGTTTCAAAGGCTTCACAGGATTGATCCTTTAACCGACAAAGCTTGTTTCTAATTGAGTTTGTGGTTGGTTTGAATGCCAGCCAGCTTTTTTGACCCAATCTTCAAGCAATATTTTCGTATGGATAGGTAGGTAGGTAGATATTGGATATGAGTGTAAATATTCGTGTTATCGATGATGACAGCCCTTCTTGCTGTGTTGACTAAGATGCCATGCTTTTCGAAGGAATTTTTTTCCTTCACGTTCCCCAGTGGAACATAGGGCTCCAAGCTAGTGGCTTGACGTTTCCGTAGCAGTGTTTATTTTACAGGATGGGGTTGTTAGCCTCATGCCCAACCTTTCCTCTTCACCAGTATTATTTCTGGCTTAGCGAGTTAAAGGAGTGCGTCGGCTGGGGGTTGAACCCCGGACCATGTGCATGGTCGGCGAGCGTCCTAACCGCTATGCCACCGACGCACTTCCAAAGGAATGCTTAAAAAAACGATTAAACTCTACACACACACCCTGCTAAAAATCTTTGTGAAATGAAATTTATTTTTGAAGTCTTTTCTTTTGCCTGTACGCTGATGAATTGTATAAGATACAAATATGTATGCCTCACTATAAAACCTGAATGTTACACGGTGTTTAGTTGTGTGAAGAAATATTATATCGAATAGGCTGGTTGGTGGTGGTCCTCTTCGTGATCTTTGTGACCATCGATGATGACATGACGGCGCAGTATTTCAAAATAACTTCAGAGCTAACTTAATCTGGGCATGAATATCATCAGTGGATACGATAAGTGCCCACTGTTATAGAATCAGGTCAAAAGAAGTTTATAAAAATTACATGAAGGTGTACAGTAATAATAATAATAATACAGAAAGATTGAGCAGCGAAGAAATATTTACTTTTCAATTAGATCCTCCCTCATCTCACTCTCTCTGGCTCTACTCTACTCTAATCAATCAATATACACGTATCCACACGCATTTTGTTTTATTACAATACACAACAACAAACAATTTACCAATCATCATCAAGTGGCACTGGCATGTTGGTTTGTTTGTTTGTTAACAACAATTAGTAGTCAGTCAGTCAGTGTCAACATGTCAAGCAGGTCAAGGGTGATAATTAACGAAGAAAATCAATGCACACACACAATCAGAGAGGTGGAAATGGTTAGAATAAATTAATTTTACAAGGATAACACGTAATTAAACATGAAGTAGTCAGAAAAAATAAAATAATTTGCACAATTATAATTTTCAAAAGAATGGAGACTGAACAAAGAGTACTCTTTTCGATAACTTCATCATCATCAGGCTCTACAGTTATGTATCCATGCATTATAGTGAATGAATTAGTGTTATGAACAACAACATTAATGTTGCTGTTTATGTAACATAGAATCAATATTGTTGATAGAATACAGCTCAATGGAGTCGGTGGCACAGCGGTTCGATCTCCCGCCGACGCACACCTGATATCTATGTTCGGCCTGCTAAATTTGGGCTACCGATATCACATGCTGAAAATTTCATACTTGCACCAAAATACTGTGTGGAATCAAGCCTTAATAAAATTTAGAAAATAGAAAAAAACAGCCAGGGCAGTAGTAGGAGCTTGCTTTTTCTCCACACAGAGCACTGGTTGTTTGAGGCGAATTGCAATAGCCTGTGGTGTTTGGAGCATGCGGTGCTTCGATGATGATTTTGTCAATTTATTAGGCACCCGGTAGATGATGATAGAGAAGGATTCTTCCACACTGGATGGCTGGCATTGTGGCCGGTTTGCACCAGATGGTCCAATATCGAACTGTTTGTTGATGGTTTCCACTACATCTTTACTTAGCCATTGTGCGAGATGTTCTGGAGTGAGCACGAAACATCAAGTTCCTAGAGCAACGGCCAATATAACTCGCTCCACCAGAAGCACAGTCTCAGTTGAATTGGTAGATACAATTTGAAGTGGCTAGCTAGTCGCGGTACTTCATCTTTCAGTCTAGGTAGCACCATCGGTCGTGTAGCGAATAATTCGTTTAGTTCGCCGCCAGCATTGAAAGTTCTTTCAACTGATTTTCTTAATTTCTTCGTAATTATCTCACTTGGTATATCGATCTCCCTTGAATCGCAGTCGTATATAAAGTGGCTTCTTGTTTACAGATAGCGAGTAGTCCTTTTCCGTCGCTTTCTATGTCATGTGTTTCTTGATAAATTTTTCGGGATAGCTATTTAGACTTAAACCAATATTTCAGAACTTATTTAATTAAAAGTAAACATTACAAACTGCTCATATAGTTTCTAGAGCAATAATAAGATTGTCGGAAAACAAGAATCTAGCTAAAGTAAGAATGGTTGATCCAACCTGAGAAGATAAGTTATTTAGAAAATGCACTCAGCACTACATTGCACTGCATGCATTAACACACAACCACACAATAGCAGGGTGGTTGGGAGAGGGTTAAGATTCTAAGCAGTAATCTATGTAGGTGGAGAGAGAGATTGATTACTGAATCCTACCTGGTTCATCGAGTCTACACCCAACACAACACATGCAACCGAAATGACTCAATGCAAATACCAGAGATATGTATAGAAGATATTATTACCGCCAGTCAGTCAGTCAGTCAGTGAAATCAGAAGAGGATAATAAATAATCTCAAATTGTATTCTATTTCAATTAAATTCAAGCACATCACAACATTCTAACAAGTTACTCACTTATTATGACTATAGGAGAAACACTCATCTTATTTCCCATCTGATTGTAATTGACCAATAACACTCATATTATTATTACTTCTGAATGTACATTATCCCATATTACCGATTTGTATTCAAATGTCTAATCATGAATTCCACTGATGTATATAAATGAAGGAAGACGAAAGTTGTGTGAGTGAGTGAGTGAGCGACTTGATATGATGATTATGAGTGGCAATAATGAATTGTGTTCGAAGCGTGTGGTCGCATCAGTTAATATTGCTTATTGTATAACACTACACACACTGTGAGTGACAGTTTATCAAAACAGAAAATCTTATCCATAATGGAGTTATACTCTACCACAGTTCCCAAGTTTTATACTTATATCAACTTCCAGTATTTCTTAAATAACCAGATTTATTGGTGCTGTAGAGGTAGGTAGGTAGGTAGTGATTGGGATTTGCTGATTGGCATAAAAATAATTAATATTGACCAGTTGTCATCGAGGATGCGTCGCAGGAGGAAGTGATGGGTATTTTTTGCGGAGCGGTTGTAGGATTTGGTGCCAGTAATGTTTGAAGACCTTTTTGTGAGATTGTTATTATAAGCCGCCAAATGCCTACATTCTGTATCATCATTCAGAAGGTCAAATAGAACTGTTAAGGTGAAGAAAACAAGAGTCGAGGGACGGCAGCAAACAAAGAAGAACGAGCATTGCTCAAGGAGTGATTTGTAAGTGTCTTACATATATTTCGATAAAGAAAGGAAGACAAAATTTACAGCATAAAATGATGTCGTCATTCTATTTCACAGGTTCTCATCAGCTAACTGCACACCCCTACCTGAAATTACAATGGTTATATAGACAGATGATAATAACATACTTTAATATTTGAGTGCTGTAAGTAGAGAAGAAGAGATACTATAAAATTGACGCATCCAAAATGAAAGCAGCATTACAATTTTTAGTTTAAGTTTTCATCATGAATTTATACGCTTTCAAAGTTGAAAAGAGGTGGGGTGGGGAGGGGTGATACAGAAAACAGAAAAAAATTGTTAATTAACAGAACAGTGTTAGCTTGTAGGTTGTTCACACAGCAACTCAAAAAACAACAAAAGCGGTTACAGTTTATGAGATTAAGATTTGTTCAGTGAGTTGAGATCACTCACTGAATTAGATGACTAATGTAATTAATGTAATCAAAATCAAAATTCAGTTACCAAGGGAGTGAGAGGTTAATCACACACACTCTCTTTCTGTATGCAGAAGTTTGGTTGGTTTAAATCGTTTGATTGCGATCGCCCCGGGAAATCGCTTCGTAGTAAATTTGCTGTCCTTTGTCTATTTAATATTTTGAAGGACTTAGAAATCTCGACGAGATGTCCGCTATCAACAATTACCAGACATATTGTTCATCTCAACTCACTGAACAAATCTTAATCTCATAAACTGTGACTGCTTTTGTTGGTTTTTGAGTTGCTATGCGAACAAGCTACAAGCTAACACTGTTCTGTTAATTAACAATTTTTTCTGTTTTCTGTCTTACCCCTCTACTCTCCCCCATCTTTTCAACTTTCAAAGCGTATAAATTGATGATGAGAACTTAAACTAGAAATTGTAATGCTGCTTACATTTTGGATGCGTCAGTTTTATATTAT